GTCCCTAGGGCGATGGCCACATCATAGTCCTTTCCCCTCCGTTCTCCTCCTCGGGATTTCAGGTGCACACACGCACGTGCCCAATATGATTTTCAAGCTGCTTGGCTCAAGGCTTGATCCACAGTCAGCCTGATGGAGTCCAGTTCTTTAACCACCATTGTCACCTTCTGACCCATGACTGCTTGAATTTTATCCTTTCTTTACACAAAGGGTGCTAGTTAACATCCTTACTTTTGTCCTGAAGGCCACATTCAGGTATAAAAACTGGATGGAAAGGATATAAAAATATTTTTATGATTTGCAGTTGTACATATTTTGTATAGTTTGGACTTGGCATTTCTTAGCCTAAAAAAACTGTTAACACATTTCTCTTTGTTTTTATCAGTAGTTTGTATAGCCTTGCATTAGCCTTTATTAAACTGAAGTAGTATATAGCAGTTAGGAGCACAAAGAAATAGTGTCACTTTGGAATAAAATTTTAAACACAACTTGAAAAGTTGGAATCATAAGAAGCTTAATTTTGAAAGTGGCTAGCATTTATTCACTTATTCTTGCTTTGTGTGCCTGCATTATTGGAAGCACTGTTGGGTAGTATCAGGTGAGAATGCAGAGAAAAAAAATTTTTCTTAAGTAACTTATAGTCAAGAGTGTTCGTGAAATATAATCATCAGAATGGGTACAGAGTTGATTATAAAAAAGGCTAAAATTGTAAATCGTGAAGAAATAGAAACCTTAAATAGTCATGCAACTACTATGGAGATTGAATCAGTTATCAAAAACTGTCTAGGGCCAGGGTCAGATGACTTCACTGGTGAATTAAAGTAAACATTTAAAGAATTAATGCCAGTCCTTCTCAAACTGTTCCAAAAAAACTGAAGAGTAAGGGACTTCCAAACTCATTTTATGAGGATACTGTTATTCTGATACCAGAACAAGACAAAGACACCACAAGAAAACAAAACTGTAGGCATATAGCTCTGATGAATATAGTTGTAAAAATCCTCAACAAAGTGCTAACAAACCAAATGCAACAGCACATTAAAAGGATCATTTGCCTTGATCAAGTGGGATTTATTCCTGGGCTGTAAGGATAGTTTAACATACAGAAATTAGTGATGTCATACAATATGTTATCAGAATAAAGGATAAAAATTTGGCCCACATGATCTGGGCCAGTCCCATAGCATAGTGATTAAGTGCTGGGAGCTGGGTTCCACATGGCCCACCATGGTTCACATCTTAGCCCAGGGGTCTTGAAAACTTGCTGGGCATGTGTGGTGGGTACAGCCACTATGGAAGGCAGTATGGAAAATTAAAAGTAGAACCACCATACCGTTTAGCAATTTTATTTTGGGGCATGTATCCAAAAGAATTGAAGTCAGAATCTTGAAATATTAGCCTTCATTAGTTCAGTGTCCACTATAGCCATGATGTGGAAACAACTTAAATGTCCACTTATGTGAATGGATACAGAAAATGTGGGATCAGCCAGTGACTGGTGGTTAAGGTGGCTGGATCCCATCTGGCCAAATGTACAGTTGGAATCTGGGGTCCAGCAGCCTGGAAACCACTCTGGGTCTATGTGCATGCATGCCCAGCATCCTAAAAGGAGTGTGGATTTGGCATGACCATGCCCATAGAGGGATACTTTCTTCCTGCCTCTGGTGAGTGCAGGTACCCTCTGGCAATTGAGAAAAAAAAAAAAAAAGAAGTAGTTGGAGGGAGAGATCCAGGAAATTCTATAATTTGCAACAGTGTTGAATTAACCTTGAGGATATTATGCTAATTGGCATAATCTAGTCACAGAGAAAAAAATTGCATATTTACACTTATATGAGGTTTTTAAAATACTAAAATTAAGAATTTTTTGTTTTGTGGATTTTTTTTTTTTATTTGTTACAGGAGTACATGCATTCATTGAGGGGAAAAAGAAAACAGAGGTCGGGGGTAGGTGGAGATGGCCATGATGCAATCTCTCATTCTCCTCTCAGGATTTTGAGCATTCCCGCACATGTACCAGCATGTTTTTCAAGCCACTGGGCCTGGGACACTAGGTGCAGTAGGACATGTATGATCCATTTGCCTTAACCACCATGCCACAGGCTGGCCCTAAAATGGTTTAAATTTACAGAATCAAAAAATGGAATGGGGATAGGCAGTTAGGAATCAATAGGCATAAAATTTCAGTCAGCAATGTGAATAAACTCTAGAGATTAATTTTACAGTATTGTTTTTGTAGTCAACAGTGATGCACACTTAAAGATTTGTTAAGGGCCAGTCCACAATGTTGTGCTTGGGGCATCTGGATCTTAAATAGTAATCAACAGTGCAGTTCAAATCTCAGACTGGTGGCTTGAATATGTGGTGTTAAGGTTCTGGTTCCACATGGCTAACTGTGGTTCTGGACCTGGTAGCTGGAAAATCAGCTGGGTACATTTGCGGTATGCCTATGTCCTGAGAGGAGAATGGATTGCTGCATGGTCATTACCTTGGGGGGAGATTGCTCACTTTCCCTCTTGCTGTCTCTGTCTGTCTCCAGCAAATGCATGCATCCTATGCAAAATCTTAAAAAAGGAAGAAAAGGCAGCTTGAAAAGTCATTCTGGGCACATATGTGTAAAGTGTCCAGAATTCCAAAAGGAATTTTGGCATGTGGCATGATGTCTTTCATGGTTTGGTATCACTTAAAATTTGGAAAGGTGGTGCCAGCAGGTGGCAAGTTGCGACTGGATCACACGTGGATGACTTCACGGTTCGAGTCCTGGACTCAGTGGCTTGGAAATCACGCAGGGCACATGTGCATGTGTTCCCAAAATCCTGAGAGGAGAGTAGAAGAGAGGGGATTGTGATGTGGCCATCTCCCCTGTGGGGGGGTTGATTTCTTAATTTCTCTTTGTCCCTCTTTGGCTAGTGCACACATCCTATAGCAAAAAAAAGAAACAAACAAACAAAAAAACCTGAAAGAACAAAAAGATAAATTAGGGGACCGACAGGTGGCATGGCGGTTAAGAGCATTGGATTTCCACATGGCTGACTGTGGCTTGAGTTCTGGACCTGGCAGCTTGCTTTCTCACTTTCCCTCTCTCGCTCTCTCACTCTGTCCCTCTCTGTTAAAATTCAAATAAATAAATGAAAAAATAAAGTTAAATAAAAATTTCTTAAAAAAAAAAAGATAAATTTGGAAAAGTGAACAGAAAATGTGAAAGGCATTGAAATAAAGATAGAGAAGGGCCAGCAGGTGGTGTAGTGGTTAAGGTGCTGGATTCACATATGGCTGTGATTTGAGACCTGCACCTGACAGCCTGAAATTCATGCTGGGCACTTATGCACGTGTGCACAAAGTCCCAGGAGGAGAATGGAAGAGAAGGGATTGCATTGTGACCATCTTCCCAGGGAAATGTGTAGACGGTTGTTGGGGGTAGATTTCTTTCTCTTTCACTGTGTCTTGGGTGAGCACATTGTGCCCTATGGTCTTTTTTTTTTTTTTGGCGAGGAGGGGAGGTTTTTGCTATAGGGCGCCTGCACTCACCAAAAAGACAGAAAGCGAGAAATCACCCCCTGACGGGGGATGGCCATGCCACAGTTCCTCCTTCTCCATTCTCCTCTCAGGATCTTGGGCATGCACGCACACGTGCCCGGCATGAGTTTAAGCCGCTGGGTCTGGGACTCGAACTGCAGTCGACTACTTGGGAGTCCCGTGACATAGCCATTAGGCTAACTGCTGTTCCTGGCAAAAATCTTAAAGAAAGAGAGATAAATACTAAACCTTATTTGCTATGCTGTGGAAAGTCATTAAAGATTTCAGAGCTATGTTGATGCGAAAGTTTAATCTCCCTGGCAAGAAATATATGTCTTACATGTAATAGCCAGTTCATAATTTGATTGATAGATCTTACTATTCTGTAGAAGCTTTTGGAAATCTTTGGGAGACATTTTAAAAGTAGTTTGCTATATAGTGATGGAATTTGGCTATTATTGTGATGCTAATGAGATTCTGCCACGAATAATTTTCAGAAATGACAAATGTCAAGGCTAGCAGTTGGTGTGGTGGTTAAGGCAATGGATCCCACAGGGCCAACTTCACAGTTTGAGTCCCTGATTCAGAGACTTGAAAAATACACCAGGAGCATTTGCATGTATGCCCAGAATCCCAAGGAGAGAATGAAGAAGGGATTGTGGTGTGGCCATTCCCCCATAGGGTATTTTTTTACTTTGTCTCTCTGGCAAGCACACACGCCCTATGGCAAAAAATCTTAAAAAAAAACAACAAAAAAAAACCAACAAAAAAAAAAAATAGTACTAATTGAGTTCTAAGTTTTGGGCTTTGTTATTTTTAAACTAAATGTTATATAACTTTAATAAATGTAAATATTAATGCACGTCTTCTTTACAGGTGTTAGTAAAATGGCATTTCGTCATTTAATTGAATTCACATATACTGCAAAATTAATGATACAAGGTGAAGAAGAAGCCAATGATGTATGGAAAGCAGCAGAGTTTCTACAAATGTTAGAAGCTATCAAAGCTCTTGAAGTCAGGTAATTATTTCTTCATAGATAGTCATATTCAGTTATATTCACCCTGTTATGAATTTGTAGTATGTGTCACATCACAAAGAAGTGGCATTTTCAACAGAAAGACCTGTAAAATTCTTCTGGATACTGATTGTTTTTCCACTCACATTCGATTTCTTGTTTGTGCATAAAAATTGTGCTAAGAGGGACCAGCAGTTGGCGTAATGGCTATGTTGCTGCACTCCCATGTAGCCAACCACGGTTAGAATCTTAGACACAGTGGCTTAAACTCATGCTAGGTGCGTGTGCTTGCATGCCCAAGATCCTGAGAGGAAAATGGAGGAGAAGGAATTGTGGCGTGACCATCCCCCCCCTCCAGAGTGATTTCTCGCTTTCTGTCTCTCTGTCTTCCTGGCGAGCGCATGTGCCCTATAGCAAAAACCTCTCCCCCCAAAAAATTGTGCTAAGATTAAATAATGCAATGTGTTTGGTATCTAATGAAACAAAATCTAGGCAGCTCTTAAGGAATTCTCTGTTTCTTAACAAACCATTTCATTGGGTTTAAGTTGTTCTTTATTTATACCAAGTCGTATTCCACAAAGAGTAACACAGTACCGTTTTTAAAAATAAGGAAGTTGGAGGGCTGACAGGTGGCCTGGTGGTTAAGGGTGCTGGATTCCCACTTGGCTGACTGCAGTTCAAGTCTTGGACCTGGCGGCTTGCTTTTTCCCTTTCATGCTTGCTCTCTCTCACTCTGTCCCTCTCTGGTCAAATTAAGATAAATAAATAAATAAAGTTAAATAAAATAATTACAAAAAAAATAAGTTGGCAAAGGTAACATAAATGGGCCAGGTTGGCGGTAAGAAGAAAATCAGTCAAGTTAGAAATGTTAGAGCCAGGACCAGCAGTTAGCGTAATGGCTATGTTGCTGGACTCCCACGTAGTTGACCGCGGCTCACGTCCTGGACCCAGTGGCTTCAAACTCATGCCGGGCGCATGTGTGTACGTGCCCAAGATCCCGAGAGGAGAAGGGATTGCAGCGTGGCCATCCCCCCTGAGGGGTGATTTCTCGCTTTCTGTCTCTCTGTCTCTCTCTGTCTGTCTGGCGAGCGCATAAGCCCTATAGCAAAAACCTCTCCAGAAAAAAAAAAGTAGAGCCAAGGGGCCGTCAGTTGTTAAGGGCACTGGATTCTCACATGGCTGACCATGTTTCGAGTCCTGGACCTGGTGGCTTGCTCTCTCACTTTCTCTCTTCTCTCTTTCACTCTGTTTCTCTCTGGTCAAATTAAAATAAATAAAGTTTAAAAAAGAATTATTTTTTAAAAAAGAAATAGCCAAAGTTCATGCTTTCTAAATCTGTAACTATATATCTGTAGATGTATATATCCATGTATCTGTTTATACATACACTGTTTACGGGCTAAATCTAGATCTGAATTTTGAAGTACTCAGAACAAAGAAAATAAAAATGTTCAGTTACATTATTCATTGTTATGAGAACAAATAAATTGCTAACAAATAAATTCCTAATATTAAAATTTCTTCCAGAGGGTGGGGACCAGCAGATGGCATAATAGTTATGTCACTGGGCTCCCATGTAGTCGACTGTGATTCGAGCCTGGACCTGGAGGCTTAAAACTCAACGCCAGGCATGTGTGTATACGTGCCCAAGATCCCAAGAGAAGAATGGAAGAGAAGGGATTGTGGTGTGGCCATCCTCACTAGGGGGTGATTTCTCGCTTTCTGTCTTTCTGTCTTTGTCTTCTTTTCAGTGAACACATGCACCCTATAGCAAAAATCTCTCTCTAAAAAAAAAAATTTCTTCCAGGAGGTATTAAAATATTAGAGCATATAATTAGAGACCTCAATATTCTTACGTAGAAAGGATATTATTACTAAGCTGTATGATGTTACTGAGGAAAGAGCTCAGGCCAGCCCTGTAGACTACTGTTTTAAGAGAGCTGGATCCCACATGGCTAAACATGTGATTTGAATCCCAGCTGCAGTGGCTTTAAAAATACACCAGCATGCACTTGCACGTGCGTCAAATCCCTGTAAGATGAGAAATGGAGGAGGAGGGATTACAGCATAACCATACCCCACTGAGGATGCTTTCTCCCTATTTTTCTATCTCTTTGGTGAGTGCACATGCTTCCCAGCAGTTACAAAAGAACAACAAGAGCTCTAGAGTCAGGCTCTCTGGATTAATATTTTAGCTCTACCACAGTGTAGCCTTACTGAAGTTACACAGTCTCCCGTCAGCTCAGTTTTCTTGTCTGTCAAGTGAGGAAAATAATGTACTTTTTAACCGGATTATTTATAAGATTAAATTAATTAATGCATGTAAAGTGCTTAGCGTGGTGTCTGGCACGTAGAACTACTATTATGATCTCTTTGTGCTATTATTTATGATGTTCTTCAACATAAGGGTTTAACATGATACCAAAGTACAGTTTGTTAAAAAATCAGTTTGATGGGACTGACAGGTGGTGTGGTTAAGGAACTGGACTCCCACATAGCCAGCCACAGTTTGAGTTTGGACCTGGTGGTGCACGCACGCACGTGTGTGTGTGTATGTGTGTGTATGTATGTATGTATGTATGTATGTATGTATGCCCCGAATCCCAAGAGGAGAATGGAGGAGAAGGGATGATGGCATGGCTATCCCCTCATGGTGATTTCTCACTTACCCTCTCTGTCTCTCTCTGGCAAGCACATGTACCCTATGACACCTGTCTCCCCCCCCAAAAAAAAAAAAACCTAAAAATGTAATTAGTTTCACATGGGGCAAAACGATTTTATCTAATTCACTTGTGTGGTTTAGTGAAAAGATAAAATTTAGACTAATGCTAAGAAACAACTGAGCTGTAATTGCTCGTAAATACTATTTGTTTCTTTTAATTAGTTTGAAAATCATTGAGAATTAAACTTTTATGACAAGAGCCTGGTTTGTGTGTGTTCTCTGATGCCTAGCACCTGGCACACAGCAGCTGTTTGTAAACATTTGTGAAGGATAGATGGATGCATGCATGGCAGTCACAACCAGATGATGACTGTCCTGCAGAGAGAGCTGAACATTGGTGGCAAAGTGTAGGCCAAAGATATGTGTGGTCTTCAGAAATGCATAGAAAATGCCGATTATGAAGAAAGTATGCATGTATTTCAACAATTTTTGCATCAAATTAAACTCATACTTTAATTCTGCCTTTTCCACATAAGTTTTGTAGTACCCTCATGTATATCTGATTAGGACATCCCTTTTCAAAAATAGAATTAGACTAAAGGGGATGCATTGGGTCTTTGGAAAAGTCATGTATTTTCCTGTTTTTCTATGCAAAAAATGTGTCATGACTTTTCTGGTGACCCAGTATATAGATGGCACAGTATCAGATTTGTAGTTAAATCTTGGATGAAACCATCTGAAAAAATATTCTGTGTGGCCCCTTTGCTGCTCATGGTGGCAAGTAGTATCTTAAGCAGTGTTGTAACTGTAGCAATAGCCTTGGATTTGGGAGACATTTAATTGAGTTCATATATTTAGTCACTGGGAGATGAAAGTAAGAACTATGTACAGTTTTTGTTTTTTTTTTTTTTAACCTGGATCTGCTTAGAACCTTTTAGAGAATTTATTAATACAACACTAGCATCTCTATAAAAATCAGTGCAATTGAGTATAAATAGAATAATCACCTCCTAGGGGGATGGCCATGCCACAATCTTTCTATTCACCTCTTGGGATTTTGGACATGCATACACATGTGCCTGGCATGTTTCTCAAGCCACCATATTGGGCTGCTCAGTCAGCCATGTGAAATCCAGCCGCCTTAATCTCCAAGACACCTGCTGACGACCCCTGTTAATTGTTTTTTACAAATGCCTGATGGTTAGGGCTATTTGAAGAGAGTACTGTGAATTATTTCAAATCTCCATATATTTCTACCCTGTTTTAGATCTTTTAATAGTTACTACGTGTAAGGCATTTCATAGAATGCCTGCCATATACTAACATTATTATATATATGCCCTATTGTTTGCCTGGAGTACCTTCCCTTGCTTATTCTTCAGCAAAATCTTACTAATTTTTCCGGTCTCTCACCTTTTCTCTGAACCCTTGCCTCCCTGCTACAAGTAGGTTGACTTGTGTACTTCTGTGCTTCTGTGGTTTTATATATTTTTTTAATATTCTCTACCAAAGCATAATACTACTGTTGTGTCCACATTTTTCCAATAGATTTCAATTCCCCCCCCCCCCCAAGAGGCTTTTGCCATGGGTTGCAAGCACTTGCCAGAGAGACAGAGACAGAAAGTGAGAAATCACCCCCCCTGGGGGGATGGCCACACTCCAATCCCTTCTCCTTCATTCTCCTCTTGGGATCTTGGGCGCCCAGCATGAGTCCAAGCCACTGGGTCTGGAACTCGAACCACCATCGACTACATGAGAGTCCAGTGACATAGCCGTTACTTCACCTGTTGGTCCCTAGATTTCAATCTTTTTGTAGTAGAAATTCTTTTTCATATTTGTGTCGAAATAGTGCCTCTTGGACTACCTAGTTTTCAGGTTTCTTTCTTCTTTCCTCAGTAGTCTCTAAAAGCTCTTGCCTGAGGGATTCAGCTCAGAATATCAGCTGGCTTTATCCCATTCTAAAAAACAAAAGCCTGATTACAACACTTTTTGTTGTTTTTTTAATTAGTCCTATTTGGAGCAGGGGTCTGGGTTCAACAGGAACCAAACAGAAGAGGACTGGTTAAGTAGTAGTTTACAGTTTACTTGGGCACTTGAAAAGACCAAAAAAGAAGAAAAAAATACTTTATTAAAAGAAACACACCTTTTTCCCCCTTTAACATCTTTTACATAGAGATTCCTCTTCAAGCAAATGACCAATTGTCATGACTTCAGTTAAGTCATTACAGCTATTTGTATTATTGATACCAGAAAAGTTGAGTTTATCATTTAAAATATTTTCAAATGGTTACACTGGTAGATATTAAAGCAAAATTTTAACGAGGGAGGGCCATCTGATGGC